AAATTAGGGTTTTACCCTAAAACCATAAAAATAACAAAAATTAACCTTTTCATTTTTGTTTATATTTTACATTGAAAAACACTTTTACATACATAAAAAACCATTTTTGTGCATAATACATTTTGCATTTTATATTTGTTTAAATATTGTACAATTTATTATTTGTCTATTCAATATGGATGTAATAGTTTAGATTTAAATTTCTTGCTAAATATCCCCCATTCAAACATTTGTACCCCCATCCCCATAATCATGTTGTAATAGTCTAGGGCTTTAAAATTCCGCATTTAAAAGCTTTCTAATTATGCCATGATAGACCTAGGGTTTGTATGCAAAAATCAAATAACAAATAGCTTGACCTAATTCAAAGACAAAAAGCATGAAAATGAACAACACCAATCACACTTGCACGCTTAGGGTTACTCCACTTGTTGCCTTCAAAAATGGGCCATGCTTGCATGTTGAGTGTCTTTGGCCAAACAAAAACAAATCTAATAATCATAGTCCCTCGATGACGCTTTCTCAAGTTGCCTAAAAATGATCAAGTCCCTTAAAGGAAAAGTTGCCAAAGACACTTGGCACCATTGCATTCATGGTCTAAACGATGACCCGCGCCCGTCCCGTTAACATCCTAATACAAGATTGTCCACCAAATACAATGGTGGAACAATACTGTTAAAAGGGTTAAAACATAGAAAAAATCTTTGAGTAAACTTAGGGGTAGACAACTATTAGTTACTTGATCAAACTTGCAAAACAAAACCTTGCCTATTTTCAAAATACACATCACAACACAATTTCAAAACAAACTTTCAAAACATTGAAAATTTTTCAAAAGACAAATACACCTTTGTATACATTTAAACATGGATCATTACAAAGATTGCCACAACAAATGGCCTCTTTTCAAAACCTCTTTCAAAATCACACACAAAGCACCATTTCAAACAATTGAAAGCACCATTTCAAACAATTGAAAATGCAAGGCAAGTGATCTAAGCAAGTAACTAAGATCCCATGGATAACCATGGATAGAAAGGGTGATAATACCTTCCCTTTATATAATCTACTCCCCGAACCCAAGAAAACATATCAAAGGTTTTTGCTGTGCTTTTTAACCTTTCCTTAGGATAAAATAAAAAGTCGGTGGCGACTCTTGCTAAACCGAAACATTTGCGAAAACAAACGCAAAACCTCAAGTCAGTTCTCCCACCATATCACAGCAACCACCTTCAAAGCTTGGTCGGAACCTGCAAGCAAGAAATCACTACAAGAAAATTAGTGTTTAACGACACAAAAATTGCGACAGTTATGTGATAACTGTCGTAATTGACATATAGAGACAGTGTTTACGACAGTTGACACCAACCGTCCCTAATATTTATTTTGCAACGGTATATTTAACCATCATAATATTATTATTACGACGGTAAAACAACCGTCGGCCCCCATTTAACACTTTTAACATTGATTTTTCACCAACAACTAGTCACGACGGTAAAATTAACCGTCCTAAAAGGCATATCACGACGGTAAAGCACCCGTCGCACCCTTAAACCTTTCACGACGGTAAAATTATCCGTCCTAAAATTCATTTCACGACGGTAAAACAACCGTCGCACCCAAAACCTTTAAAAATTCTCATGGGCACGACGGTAAAACACCCGTCGCCGTAAAAAAGTTAAAAAGCTCATAAAACATCCATTCACTTTCTACTCCTGCGTTCACTTTTTCTACTCACGGTGTCGTTCATGCCGTTCTTCTTCACACCGAAAGAAACCCCTTGACACCGAAAGGAATCTCTTCAAACCACTCATCTTCACACCAAAAAACGCACAGCAAGCAGTTTAACATCCTCTGCGTTCATCTCTTCAAACACAGTAAGTTTTATGTATCACTTTTTGCATTGTTCTCATCTCTCTCATTCTCTGCCATTGATTTCAGCATTGGAGATTCAGTTGAATCTTATGGTTGAGCTCTTTGTGATGATTGATTTTGAGTTTGAATATATTGAATTGATGTTAGGTTTTCTAATTTGTTGTTTTAGGGTTTTATTTCTTTTTATGATTTTTTAGGTTTTCTAATTTGTTGTTTTAGGCATAAAACTGATATAAGAGGACCATATACTGATCCAAATGGGATAGTAGTTGTTCCTTTCCCAGCCCAACCTAAGCGAATCTCCAATGCATATATGAAAGGTGAAAGATGAAGACAAATATGAATAGATTGGATATTTTGTTGAGAATGTTGGGTATTTTGTAAAAAAAAAACTATAATGGCCATTAACAACTAGACTGTTCATCCACCGATAGCATTATTAGTATTGGGATGCTCAAATATGTCCTTCTCATAAGTTTCCATACAAAACTATTATTAAATTTGTCTTATTTACTTTCTTCTGCTATGTCATTTTCTGCACTAATAAAAACAGTGTCAATACTTGCACATAGCTCAATCAATGTGCAGGGAAAAACTGCTTCAAAAATTTCAGTGAATCTTCACCGTGGATTACTAGTTATTTTCATCAATAATCATAACTAGTGATTCCAATTTTTGATTCCCTTGATTTTCTATCATTTTTTTCTTCTAAAATTTGGCCTTTTCCTATCAATATATTATACACAGCCTAGATGCAAAAATATATACTATATGTTTATTGACAAGTTGCAATGTATAATGATTATTTTGAATAGTTAAATAGCAATACTGAAACCTGACTGGGATTTGATGCATATGAATAATATATGTCAAAAAGTTATACTACTCAGTAGCAGCAGCAACTTCAGAGGGATTTTGTTCATCTGTCTTGGCGGCACCATTATTTCCATTGGCTTGTTCATCAGTGTTATTCTTTTCTGAAGGAACTTCCTCAGAAATATATATATATAGTTTAATATGGCAATGGTAAGTAACCCATATTTTCTTTTGATAATTGTATTCTATACTCTTTTAGAACAGTACTAAAATGATGCTCATCAAGTGTTTGTTGTAATGCTCAACTCAAGGTATGGCTGAGTTTATAGAATTCTGATATGTTATGCTATATAGTGCCTAGTGGGTGTTGTAAAATGATGCTCATCAAGTGTTTGTTGTAATGCTCAACTCAAGGTATGGCTGAGTTTATAGATTTCTAATATGCTATGCTATATAGTGCCTAGTGGGTGTTGTAAAAGGACTTTATAACCATTTAAGCATCATATTCTGTTGCAGAGTGTGATTCTGACAAAAGCATGTTTATTTGAGTGACTTGTGTTGCTTCTGTCATATTTGCTAGCAACAAAGGTTTTACTTTTTGAAATTGAATTAGATTACTTTGTTTTGGAATTCAATTCTTATTCTTATTTTAGATTTTGGGGTTCTTAAACCTTGGTTGGGTTGCAGGACTTCTACCATTTCATCCTGATTTGCTAGGTTTGGTTCAGCATTTCCTTCTACTTTTCTTGGTATGTTTTCTTAACTCTCTTGCATTTTCAACGTTATTAGTATTGTTTAACAAGTAATTCTATGATTAACTAGAGAACATATATGTTGTTCTTTGCCTTTGTATCATGATATTTTCACTTCTGTAACAAGTAGTACTACTATTTTGTAGCAAATGCTATGATGATTATTGATACAGAGTGTCTGCCAAAGTTGAAATCTAAGATAAATCTAGTAAGACTTTCTGATTATAATATTTTATTGGCAAATGTTAGAATCTAACTAATGGATCAAGTGAAATTATAAACCTTATGATTAGAATCTGTCCAAGGTTTCTCATATTAGCATTGCATGGTTTGTTTGAATCTCTTGATGAAAGATAACTGAGCTGGCTTTGTGTTGATTTCAATAGGCTAGATCAGAACATGAATGCATGATGAATCATCTACCCCTTATCTTCCTGTAGTTTGCACCTTCATCACATAACTATTCCTTTAGTCTATGTACATTAAAAGATATGTATGTATCATCAATAGTTCAGCATGTCTTAATTGGCACTGCAGTATCGTTTCTGTATTTTTTCTTACCCCGTTTAACATGCATTCATACTATCACTAAACTCTACTTGAGAATTGTTATTTTCTCATGCGCAGGTTATCTCAATGCATTCATACAACCATTAACTTAATCACGCATCTCATATATTTCCTCCTGCATTTTTTACTTGCATAATAAATTGACATTAAGCATAATAAAAAAAATCAGTAGCAAGACCAAATAGAAACATGAACAACACAGTGCATCCGAGGTTTTGACATAGTTGATAGTAGATCTATGTATACTCAATGAGAAGTATCAATATTGCAATATTAAACAAAGTTCTTGTCTTAAAACTTATCAATATTTAGTAGCAGAATCACACAGGAACGTAAACAGCACAATGCATATGATTAAAACAGACAGAACACTAGTGTAAAGGCAGAGGAAACTAAGTAATAAAACCAATAAAGACAATGTTCACATGATCTTATTTTATCATGTAATTTAAATTAATTGTCTATTTACTGAATTAACCACAATTTCAGTGATTAACCAGATGTATGAAAAACTCTATATTTTGACACTAGTGGGTGATTTAGTCTAGTCACTAGTGTCTCAGTGTTTCTTTCCTTCTTACCTTTCAAGGCAAGTATTGTTGCTAAAGTTTCACACAACATGCATGGTTTTGTTTTTCATAGGTAGAATGTTAGTGGTTACTTTCTTTAAAGGATAAAACAATTACCCTGGGCTACACTTTTGTGCCAAGAACACAATTGTTAATAGTAAATCCAGTCACTCAATTTCCTTGAGAGTTAATGTGTCTAAAGAAAAACTTAGAGAATTGTTGTTTAAGCTTAGATAGTATCATATTGATTAAGAATGTAATTACTACTTACACAAAGAAAATGTAAAAGAATACTCTTGCAAGCCTCATATTATAATCAACACTATACATCATACTGCTTTTACAAAACAAAAAGAAAGAAAGAAAAATTCAATAACTCTTCAGATTAACTTTTTATCAAACATGATTCAAAAACTTAGATGATGACACAGCTATTAGGATCTTCTTCAACGCTAACAGCACCGTAATAAGGGCTGTATTGTGGTTTCATGTGATGATTATAATAGCCATGTGTTCCATAGAACATGAAAGGATTAATAATCAGATTTTCTTTCTTATCATCTTCCTTTTTTTAGGTTCTTCTTTCTTTTCCTCTTTAGCTGGTCCAACAGAAATGATTTCAGCATGACAAAACTTCCTTAGCTTAGCAACTACACCTACTGGATCGATATCTCCTATTAAGGTTAATTTCTTGTCTTTAATGTCCATTGAAACTGACTCAACCCCTGAAAGCCCAGAGACTGCCTTCATTGCTTTTTGCTTCATTCTGTCTTCATTTATTTCCAACTTTAACACAACTTTCTGTAACACAACAAATTAACTAGTTTTTAGGACAAAGCAAAGCTTGAAATTTAAAATAAGATGAAGAAAATAATAGAGTGGTTTTAATCCTGGTAAAGAACTAACTTACCATCATTGTTATGGAAGCTTCTGATATGTGAGATAAGAGTTGTAAGGTAGAAGAACTAACTTACCAACATGTGAAAGAGTGAGTTTTAGCTGGTAGATGAAAACCTTGAAATATGTTTAGGTTTTTTGGATGCTTGTGAGGGCAAGTCACAATATCACTGACATCAATCTATTTCATATCTCAAAAATTAACATATTACTGAAAGTGAAAAATATTTCGAAAACCATGTAAGATGTAGGTAAAATGTATTTTTCATTTAAAATACTTTTTTAAAATAAAAAATATTAAAAGAAAATATAAGATATATATATGTTAGTCTAAATCCTGCATTACATAGAAGAATCGCTAACCATCTTGGTTTTGGTTTTGGTTTTGAAAGAGAAGAGTGTGTGTAATATATGCCTACTGTGTGTAATATATATTTTATGCCTACTGTGTGTAATATATATTTAATCCTACTGTGTGTAATATATGCCTACTGTGCATTACACTTGGTATGCTGCTTTGGTTTTTGTTGCAGGTAACTTTTCTCTTCTATGATTTCTACCAACTATTGATATGCTGCTTTGGTTTTTGTTGCAGGAATTTTTCTCTTCCACTTGCTTCGCTGCTCTTCAAACCCTCGTGCGTCTTTGAGGTATGATTTCATTCTTAAATTTGAGTGCCCCTTTACTATATCACTGTTCAAAAATTGATGAATTAACACAGGCAATCATATTCTTAACGCAAAGGGACAACGCGAGGACAAAGGAAATTGAATTCTTAATGCAAATGCAGAATTTTAGTGGAAGACAGGTATATTATTTTGACGCATTTAAAGTTAAATTTTATGAGTATTATTTTAAAGATTATTATTTTAATACCTTTTTTTAGGGATTGGAATCACCCGCTGATGGTAGACGTTCATCTGAGTCTAGCTACCGTATTGGAGATAATGGAACTTCAGGGGGAACAAATTAGACTTTGCTATGATCGAGATAATTAGATTGTGAACTTTCTCATGTATTTTTGGCATAATGATACTTATTATTATAAGATTAGGAATTGATATATTTTGGGTTTTTTGTACTACTTGACATGATTATGGAACTCGCATTTTACATGATTATGGAACACACATTTTTTTGGATATTATAATGCTTATTTGATGTTAAATATTTTTTATTGAAATTATTTTTACTATATTACAAAGTGATAGAAAATAAAACAAAAAAAAATACTATAAATAAATATATTAAAGAAGAAATAATTTAAAGAAAAAAATAACACACAAAAAAACTATATTTAAAATTTTTTACATAGATAATAATTTAAATAAAAAATATATATAATAGAAAAATAAAAAAAAATCAAGACATAAACAAAAGTCATGGCGACAGTACCGAACCGTCGTAATCAACAATTAAAAATAATCAACAAAAGTCATGACGGTATCGAACCGTCGCCATAAACAATTTAATCAATTTCAAAAGATATTCACGACAGTATCGAACCGTCGCCATCAATAATTAAAAGAAACTCAAAAGATAGTCACGACGGTATCAAACAGTCACCAATACTTGATTATGTCAGCTCCAAACCCGTCGTAAACTTGAACGACAGTTTTTATAACCGTCGCGAAATAGGTTGGGGACACACACTTCTGCGACGGTAAAGCAGCCGTCGTGGAAAGCAAATTGCGACGGTTTTAACCGTCGTAATCTACAAAAATACCTGTCGCAATCTGCCAATTTTCTTGTAGTGAATGGAGAGAGATTAGGCACCGAATCTAGATGAACGAGATGAGAATCGGAAATCGCACGAGGGGTAATATAACTCAGCTTCTATTTTATTTTTGGTTCGGCGATTGTGTGTGGGTTGGGTTTGTATTTGGCTTTGAAAGGGAAGTCAGGTGTAAGCGTCGCCGCCGCGGGGTTATCGTTTTGTGTTAGGGTTTGAAAGGAGGGTAAGGGTTTGTAAGAAAGAGATAGAGAGAATGAAGGGATGTTGTAAAACGAGAAATGAGAGGAAATTGAAAAAAACAATATGTTATGTCCTGTTGCTATTTGGTTCATGCGCGTCTATTGCGAGTAAAATTTTCCCTCAATTTTATCCATCTGATCCTCATCATACGACTATTAGGCCAAGTCTCACCTTAGTTCGGTACACCTTCCCGTGTACGATTAGTAAGGCTTCCAAGAAAACGTGTTCTGGGCCAAGCCCATCCAGTTTAACACCCCCCTTCTGCCACTTTACTGAACTATCAAACAACTCACACCCCCTATTTCAGAATTGGTGGAAATGGATCCTATCTATTTAGTGTGATTCTTATCTAAAGGAACCCTCAGGCGAAAAAATAATAATTCTTCTTCTATCTTTCTTTGTCTCCTCGGTTCCTGGGTGAGTAGAAAGGGGTCGATGAAAGGCCATTCTATCTACGAGTCTATTGGAGATCCAGTCGGTACGTCGTTAGAGATTCATAGCGAAGCCCTTTATCATTTCAGCCATTGGTGATTGCCCATCTACATCAATAACAATGAGGCATGACATCTTTTCCAGTAGTTATGCCTGAACTAAACCTCGTACAAGACTTTCTTTCCGGCCTTACATTTCCCAGTCTCAGGAAAAGAATAGATCTTTCGGTCAAAGTCGATAAGGATAAAAGTCCAATAGCTAGGGTGGGATTGTCCTCTGTTCTCAACTCGGGAAGGAAATAAATAAGCATGGATTCACCTATTCCAGAAAAAAAGAAATATGCTTTAGGTTTTGCTTTCGAAAAACACAAGGCCTTACAACAGCTCATTCCCGGAAGAAAAAGAAGACAGGTTCAACTTAATTAAATGATTTTTTCCTAGTTTTATATTATCACTTATTTTCTATTATTTATAATTATTATATTTTGATATTATTATTATATATTGTTATAATTACTTAATTTATTATTATTATTATTATTTATAATTATCATTTATTATTATAATCCCTTTTTTATGTAAATATTATTATTATTAATTATTAATACCAATGTATTTTATTTACTATTTAAATGTTGCTATATTATCATCCAAATCATTTTATATCAAAATTGCATATATTATTTTCTCATTATTTGCATTAAATCTTTTTTTTAATCATGCATTAATCAAGATATTTCTGCAATTGACACAGTTAAAAAACACTAACAAATCATCAAACTTTTTTTTCAATAAACTAAGCTAATCAACTGTTTTTGCAAAAGGTATTCAAACAGATTTTGACTTACCACGCATTTAGTAAAAATCTCCGCAATCACCACTCCCAACCTAAGTGCGAGGTGATTCAAAATATGTTTGCAAACCCCTAAAAAACACCAACCCCTATACAAACTACGAATTGGGACTCTGATTCCTCTTAAGAGGATACATAGGCATACAATCAAAAATCGTAGCGAGTTCTCCTATAAAAAAACAAACTCATTCCCCTATTAAAACTTAAAACCCCTATTTTACCCAAACCTAACCCTAAAACCTAATATCCTTGTGAACAAGGTAGATGAAAGGTGCCTAACACCTTCTTTTCGTCTAAAGAAGTCTGAAACCTAGAATCTCTGTCTGTGAATTAGGGTTTTATGCTAGATTCAGTTCCCTAGGATAAAAAATAATAGTGGCGACTCTCATAAAAAACCAATCGCAACAGCTGGCGACTCTGCTGGGGAATTCAACTTTAGGTTTTAGGGTTTTTTGCCTTGGGGTTTTTATTGCTTTATTTATTTATTGCTTTCATTTATTCATTGCATTTATTTAATTATTGTCTAATGCTTATCATCATACATACTGCATGGATTTACTTTTTTATTTTCTCAAAATACTTTCAATAACCCTTAGAAAGAAGGTTCGTCTATTAGCTTAGGTGGTACATAATCGTTGCGAGTTTATGTGACGACTTCGCCTAGAGTCGGTGAACTTCCGAAAAAGGAATACTTATCGAGAGATATCCTCTTGACGAGTAGGAATTTGGTAGGTCACCCATGATTCTTTGTAACGACCTTAACCTAAAATCTCATGACGAGACCTTTCACAACTTTGAGACGAAAGTTTCAGTCTGTAAAGAGGCTCCACCTAAGGGAGGCCCTTGTACGTTTTCCCTCTGGTGTTATTCATGATACCCTTAAGGAAACCACATTTTGGGAGGGTATATTTACCATAGGTCAAAATTAAGGGGCCTACCTTATAGGGGTACCCATCACAAAAACCTATCACAAAATCCCGTTACTCAACCCAACACCTACACATTCATGCATTCATACATATCTCATATTCATCATTTGTTTCTTTTATCTGTCTTATTCACAGGGTACAAAATAAAAGATGATAAAATCAAGACTTTTGGTGTCTATCTTAAAAATGGATACCATAGGGAAACAACTTGTCCGCGTCAATGCCTTCAAGCCTGACCTTTCTAAAATCAAAAAATTGTAAAGGGGAAACTATCTGAGAGGGCTCTGAAGATGTACGCTCGCCGCTATGGGGATACCCTTGACTGGACCAGGGTAGAGGTTCAAATGGACGTTGTCTCTGCCCTCATTCAATTTTATGACCCTCCATTGAGATGTTTCACCTTCCAAGACTTCCATCTAGCACCCGCTCTAGAAGAATTTGACAGAATTCTGAATTTCTCCAAAGAAAAGGCCTATGTAGGTATTGGACTGTTGTACCCCAAAATTTGCTCTCTCATTTCTCAAGGAATCAACCTGGATCCTCAGGTTTGCTTCCATCCAATTCCAAGCTTTGAATTACAAATTTTTCAAGAAAGTCGCCTACAAGGGCAAATTGGTCATTTTCATACTAAAAAGTCAAACTTTGGCTTTTGGACCAAAACCAAGTTTCAAGAATCATATTTCATCAAGACATGTTGAAATATGAAGTTTGTTTCATCAAGAAAATCAAAAGTCAATTTACTTTGGGAAAAGTAAAAATTTTAAATACTTAGAACTTTTCTAAGTGTTTAAGAAGCATGACAAAACTCAGAACTTCTGGCCAGATTTTCAC